CTTATAGTTAAAAGTTAATTGGGAAAAGGGGAAGAAAGAGAGAGAGAAAGAGAAGAGAAAAGAAAAGACAAAGTAGTGGAAAAAAAATAATAATAATTGCCAAATTTCTTCATCAAATTTTTTTTTAATTTTTAAATAAAGTTATTTGATAGTAAACATTTATGTAATTATTAATACTTGCAATATTATCTGTAATAAACATATAGAAATATCCGGACAAAATGAATATACTTTTAATTCATTAATTTATAAGATTATATTTAATGAAGAGAGAGGGAAAGAAAAAGTGTCAACCACAAGATGATTAAAATTTAAGCCATTAAAATTTGAATTTAATTCTTAATGTTTCCGAGAAAAACAAAAAATTTAATATAATATTGAAAATTTTACTATTACAATCTACTATTAATCAGTGTATGATTTTTTTGAAAAAATTTTTAAAATTTAATTTAATTTTTAAAATGGAACTGAACTAATCAAAAATTAAACTTTCATATTTGCATGTTCCAATCATACATTTCTTAATTGGTGCTTTCTTTTTCAATTTTTCGATTGATTTCAAATATGCTGTTCTATTGTTATGTAAAAATTAATTTGTTAAATTATAAGGCGGAAATTTTTTAGCTACTCAAATGAAACATTTAAAAAAAGAAATGTCTTCTAAATCTTTACCGTTTCTTCATATTTGAGAATGTCTACTTTGTATGTTGTTTACACTACTTTCAAGTTCTTCGAGTATGATTGTTTACAAATGAACATTTTTAAAATCATCTTTTCCAAATTTCGAAAATTTATCAATAATACAAATGAATATTTAAAACCTATTTTACTTTAATAAAGAATATCGATTAGAAGAATACATGGCATACCGTACCAAGACATACCATGGCATACCGTACCACAATAATTACTATTAATAATATAATGCGTTAGATAATATGAATATAGATTAACGAATTGATGAGTCAAAATGGAAATAAAAAAATAATGACACCGTCGGATTAAGATATGAGCCCATATATGTATATGTAGCGGGCAGGTGGAATGAGTTTACAGTGGCTAAGAGAGATGGATACTCAGATTTACAATACAATTCCCAAACGGTACAGTAATAGACAGGGTACTGTCTCAATGGATTCTTTATCTATTACCGTATATAGACAATTAATATGGATGAGCGAAAAAGAGAAAAATTTGAAATATTACCAATCAATATGAGTTACAGTTAAATTATGGAAAGTTAATTGCTTTGAATTTTACGACATTTTAATAGCATTCAGAAAAAGGACAAAAACTGAAAGCTTGATGACATATTTCTTAGCTAATTTCTTTGGAGACAAAATTTTGTATCAAATGCTATGCAATATTAATCGAAAAATTCTACAACATATATGATTATTTGAACTTTTTCGCTTTTTTTTTCTTCTAAGAAATAACTTTTCCTAAAAAAAAATTCTACATTATTTGAAGTTTTTTTTTTCGTTTTTTTTTCTCTCTCTAAGAAAATTTATGATTGCCAATTTCTTGAAAATTTTTAAAATTGGCTATTCTTAGATTTTTCTTAGAAAAAATTTCTTAGAAATTGCCAATCATAAATTTATTTTTGGGAAAAACAAAAAATTGTAACGACCAGATAGTTTTTCAGAAAGATTGTTAATAAATTATGCTTAATTTATGTTTGTATTATCAGAAAAAAAATTATTATTACTGAATTAATAAGCTAATAATTTTTCTTTTCCTTTTTTTCCGTCAAAACAAATGAATTTTTACACAAACCATTTCCAAAATTCATATTTGAAAATTCCAAAAAAAAAAAATCAATCTAAACCAAATATTTTATCATTAGATCAAACTTTAATCATTTTATGGTAAACAATGAATTTGGTGACTGTCAATGTTATGTTATCAATGAATCAAACAGTTTGTTCCACAAATGTGAATGAAACAATCTTCCAAAACAAATTATCAGGCAAATAATACCATTGAAACATTTATGTAAATTAAATAATTGAATCAGCTGATATTGGAAATAGATAAACCTATTAAGAAATATAATGTTGACAAGTGAATAGTACATATCAATCCTAATTAATAAATATTATTAGAATAAATCAAATCTAATACAATGTCAACAACTGTCAACAGAAATGCAATGTTAACAAATGAACAGTGCTCATCAATTTTAATTAATAAATATTATAACTTTCTAACTTATAATCTCATAAATTCCAATCAATAAATACTATAATTGTTTATTCAATTACTTTCCAAATAAATACTGTATCAGACAGATATCAAACAAATATTATTATAAGGTAGATATTTTACTTAAACAATGATGAATAAATGAGAAAGGTATGAATGAAAAACAAAATAAAAAAAAACTAAAAATAATTCTTTAAAAGAAAAAAAGAATTTTTTGTCTAAAAACTTTTTTCACTTTCTTTACTTTTTTTTTAACAAATTTAAAATAATACCATTGGGAATTAATGCATTTCAATACGAATACATTTGTCATTCTATTCATTTTTCGTCCAAATCATCATTCCACAGTTAAAAACAATCGAAGAATTGATTCATTTCAATATTTTATATGTATTTCTTCTCTTTTCTTTTTTCCCCCTTCTTCTCACCTGTAAAAATACCTGTAAAG